GTTAATAAATTGTTTGATTTCTTGAACAACGTTCCATGTTTTAACCGGAAAATTAAAAATTATTATATTCTTATTTGTAGTCTCATTTACCAATTTATCAAATTCGAATTCCAACATACCTTTTATCTTTTCGTTATTTTTATAATTTTCTTCTAATTTTTGTATCTTGTAACCAATTATCTTCATCTCTTCTTTATAACTATTATTTTCTTCTTTTATCTTATTAACTTCAGCTTTTATTGATTGAATTTCTAAGTTTAACTGGCAAAATTTTTCCTGAATTAATTCGTATATAGATCTTAATGTATATTGTGAATCATCAATACCTTGTTTTTCGATTTCTCTTGCCGGTCTAAAATAATCCTGAATTTTCGAATTTCTCGGGGTCTCATTATTTCTTTCGACCTTTTCTTCAATTTGGTAGTCCTCACTTAAAATTTCCAGTAACTGCGTTTCCCTTTCTTCTTCCTTGTGACTTTCTTTCCGAGGTCTACCACGCCCCCTTTTTTGCATATCCAACTGGCTTGACCGAAGTGGCAAACGGGAAAGAGGACCAGGATTTATTTCAATTCCGGCAATTATTAATAGTAGTTTAATCAATCCCAAGGTTAATTTAATGTCAACAACTTTAATCTGTACATACCACATTGCGTAATTTTTTGTTATTTCCATTCCAAACTTGTTCCACCAGCCTCTTAAAAAAGTTCACTCGCACGCTTAACGGCTCTGACACACCCCCTTAATCAAGGAGTAAAGTTCAATCAATTGAAGAAATTTTTATTTGTTATGCATTTCAGGATTGAAACATACCCTCTTTAGGCAGGAAAACTCTAGTTTTACATAAACACTTCTCAGTAACATCTCAATACAATACAGTGATGACAATCCTAAAAGTGTTATCAATCCTTGATAATACCTTTAGAATTGTCATCACCAGAAGGATTATAAGATTTATGAGTGGTCTAAATTGAATGTTTTAACATAATTACAGTAAATATACATAAAAACATTTTGAGAAATATATTGAGGTGTTTATGTAAAACTGGATTTTTCTTTGTCTGAAGAGGGGATATTTTAATCCCAAAATGCATAATGAATAAAAATTTCTTAGACCAATTGAACTTTGTCTTCTGATTAAAACAGACTTTGTTATAAGACAAACTCAGGTTTACTATTTGATAGTCTTAATTGAAACACTTATAGATTTCCTTTCATTTATATGGAGACTTTTAATTAAAATTAAAGAAACTATAAGTATAACATTAAAAACTACCTACCTATGACTTTTTTAAATTGTGCATGATTTTTTTTTAATGTTATAGATTGATGCTCGGCAGTATCCTGTTACTATTCATTTCAATAGGCGCACTCCTACAGAAGACTATATTGAAACTGCATACAAAAAGGTTAAAGTTTTATTATTTAATATTAACAAATTATAGTAGATTACAAAAGAAAATCATTAATAACTTTTAAATAATATTAAACTACATGTTTATAATAGAATCAGATTAAGAAATGATTAATAATAATTTAATAAAATGTTGTACAGATATTTTTTACAAATTATTTAAATTAAATAATCTTGACTGTATTAATCTAACAGTTTTAATTATTGTTTATAACAGAACATGTGACTTATATAGTTTTAAATACATGCAATTATATTTTAACTTTATTCATAATTACTTTGCAAAAAACTATATTATTTACATTTGAATTTTGTATATAAATATTAAAAATTTCTATTATATATATAATAAATGAAAAATAGAAGAAGTGTAACACATGAATTATATGTAATATAATAAATCTACATTAATTTCACTGACATTACATGTTTGAATAAATATAGACTTCTTGAAGAAAAACTAAATAGTGATGGCAGAGTTGGTAAAGGTATCAGTCTGCTACTTTCAAGAGGGCCCAGATTCATGTCTGTGCCATCTCAGAGAATTCTAAAAGTGAGTTGATCTGAATGTGAATCCATCCCTTACCATTCCTGGTGAACCACAGAATGGAGAAAGATCACATTGCCTGAAGAACAAAAAAGAATTAGAAATAAAAAAAAATAAAATAGAATAGTTGTAAAAAGTCAAGAATGAAATCTCAAAAATAAAATATTTTTCTAATATGAAGCATCAAAGTTTAATTCTAATTTATTACACAGCAAAATGGCACCTGAAGCTTGATTTTCAATGTTATCTGCCTATTTTTGAAGATTTTATTATGTTGTTAATTTGGTATTTTTGATTATTTTTTATTGAAATATTTTGATANAAAATTCAGGAAGCATTATTAAGTGGCATGAAACATTGCTGACTGTTGACAGAGGTTTGGATTGATTTCCAGTATAAAATATTATGGATTACATAAAAGGTTTTTAATTTATATATATTATATAACAATATCAGATGATGATACTATTGGAATTCATATGAGCATGTCCAGTATTCACACATTGCATAGGCAGTTTAAAGACAGGCAGTCATTTCACCTCCATTGGAAACACAGATCACAGCAGTAGAGGTATTTTTCCAAACAGAGTCCATTACAGAAGCTCAGCTGGCACTGCAATGCAACAATGAAGACCACTATGAGTCTGTGCCAGAGTGACACAGCATTTTGAGATGGGCCAAACTGTGGAGAGCCATGGGCAGTGTTCAAATGCCAAAGAACATGGAGTGTGTTTGTGCAGCCTTACTATGGAGTCTTCACTGTTTAGCATGGCACAGGTAACAACTTTGCAGATATCACAATGCTCTTTGGGCCAATTGCTGGTGAATTTTCAGTTCATCCATCAGGAAATACTTGAGTTTTCATGGGATATGATATAACTCTTCATGGACATCTTACCACACTGTCTGCAAGAATGCATCCATGCAGATGGATGACATTTAGTACACATTATTTTCAAGAAGCAGTAATGTTTGTGTACTTTGTTTACTGTATGTGATATTAAATGCATATGTGTAGTCTTCCATTTAAAGGTCAAATAAAGTTTCTACAATTTCTCAGTCTTTTACTTGTTTGAAATTGGAAGATATAATATATGCCACCTGTATTACAAATTTTTTATTATAATAATACAATTTTGTATTATATATGAAAATTTTTTATTATGCATAACTATTTAGTTACTTTAGATTAATGTCTGGAGAAAAATTTTGAAAAACATATATTAACTGTATTACAATTGTGTATAATTAATAAATATATAATTATAATCAACTGTAATAAAACTATATTAAATGTTTAAAGAATCATTATTACATTTTTTTAAAATCCTTTTTTTGCAAAGATTTCTTTTTTACAAAAAAAACAACAAATTTTACTGTATTTACAGTTATATCAATATATAACTTGATCAAGTAAATGTTAATGAGATTCATTTCTTAGAAGTATTAATTACAATTTCTTAAAATTGAAATGTTTTGATATGGAATAATTACTGATTATATTAATATACATTTAGTGATAATCTTTATTGATACTAATTAAAAATATGCATTTATAATACAATATTGATTTTGATTTTTATGTAATTAGGTCTGTAGAATTCACCAAGAACTTCCGGAAGGTGGAATTCTTGTATTTGTTACTGGACGGGAAGAAGTGCATAGGCTTTGTAGAAAATTGCAAAAAACATTTCCATGTCCTGAAGATAGTAAAAATGACAATGTTAAAGAAATTAAAACAGAAGAAGAATTAGACAAATTCATGGATGATCCTAAAACATTAAAAAAGATTGGGAAGCATTGTAGTTATTCCAAACAAAATTCAAAATTAGATCTACCTGATATTGATCTTGATAAGTAAGTGAATTTTTTTTGATATATATGGGCAGTTTAAGGTTGATTTGCACATTTTGGTGTGACTTATGTCATGGTTGTATGATCATGATGTAAACTTGCTATTATATAGACACTACTACTTCCTGCCAAGAACAAATGTTCTCCCTTTAGGTATATGCATTGTAAGCCAGGTGATAGGATATTGGAAGGTGTTTCTGCAGGTATGTAACAGCAGTACATTGTAAAATTTATTGGAAAGGAGAATATGAAACCAGCTGAAATTTCATGCAGATTGCAAGCATAGTACAGGGAACAAACATTATCATATATAAATATGAAGTATGCAATGAGTTCAGTGGAAGTCAAGATTAAATGTCAAACAAACCCAACAGACATGTTTAGCTGATTACTGTTATGGAAATTAACATCAATTTACTGAGTGTATTATTCAGTATTTCAGGAAAATAAGTACAGTGCAGTCCACAAAAAGAGACTAGATCTAATAGCACAATAATGCATGCTCATTATTGTGTGATTTAGGATAATTAAGAGAAAAGAAATTTGCAACAAATGAAGCCCTGCAGGATAGTGTCAAGTTGGCTATGATAACAAGAGAAAACATTCTACAGTGCTGGAATTCAAGCCCTTTGTAGATGATGGAGGAGTGCATAAATGTGAATTGGAAATACCTCAAAAAAGCTATGTAGTTTAGAAATTGTACTTATATTTTTTTGTAAATTAAAAATCTTTTGTATCAAATTAATATTTTAAACAGATTTATTTCTTTGATCAAGTTTACAGTTAACAGCATGCTGCAAAATAATTTTTTAATCTAAAAAACAAAACTATGTATTAAAAACAGTGTGAAATCAGTATTCTGCAGCTAAAAGGTTAAATAAAATAAACAGTAACTTGTATGTAATTAGCAGACACACAGAATTTCATTTTTAATATTTAAAAAACAAGACATTTTTATTCATACTATAATATATAAAGTTTTAATTATTTTAGGAAAGAAGGTAAATGCCATCACAGATTTCAGTACTTTTGTCTTCACATACAAATAACAGACTCATTCTCCACCCCCTCTGTTATTAATGTTATTCCACTTTGTAAAAAAAATTCTGAAACCTGTAACACCATTTAGAATTCCTTTCCAAAGACAGTCCATTACAATTACTTACATGACTAACAAATTTCAAATTTTGCATTAATACATAATTTCAATATATAAATATGAATCTAAAAAATATTAATCTGTTAAAAAATTTAATTAATATATGAAATCTATCTACTTATATATTAAATAATTTTATTTAAAAAATAATATATATCTTAAAATTAAAGATATTCAATATTTGATACAATTATTATTACATATATATAAATATATATTAATTAACCAAATAAATGTTATCAAGTAGTTATATTNCGGGGAATTTCGAAAAATCCCATCGTAGTGTGCATTCTCATGATGTACCCTAACTGTGTACCAAATTTCACCTCTTTAGGTTCAGCGGTTTGCTCTGGGCAATGATGAATCAGTGACTCAGTCAGTCAGGACAAGTAATTTTATATATTTAAATATAAAAATTAATAACGTTGATACATATGTATATATTAATCATTTTATTCATCTCACATTTACTGTATTTTTGCATGTTGCATATAAACAGGGAGACCAACATGCAGCATATAAACAGGAGACCAGTATACTGGAAACTCTGGGGTTACCAGCATGCCAGTTAAACTGCGACTAAAACATAAAATTAATCAAGACAAAACTATTGATCTAACAAAACTAGTTGTTAATTAAATGTTAAAGAAAACATTCTTTCAAGTACAATAAAATAATAATGTTGTAATTTGACTGACTTAAAATCAGGAAGAGAGTTTTTGTTTACAAGACGACAAAACAATTAATGATTTATTGACATAAGTAGTAGTAGTTAGTCAGTGTGGGCTACACTGATCAATACACTGAGACAAAGACAAATTCCATGAAATGCTAAATAGTCTGCATATGACAGAAAGGAAGTATATAGCAAAGCTAGAGAAAATCCTGTCTGCTACCCTGACCTTAAAAATAACAGCTTTCTCTCAAATTTCACACAAAGCCATGTTGATGGTGTAAAAGTAAGTCAATTGTGTAATTAATGTAAAAAATGTAAAATTACTTAATAAATTTTGATAGTAAACTGTTTATTTATATTTTGAAGATTATAATACTTTTATGAAAAAAGTTTTATAATTATTTTATTTAGATATTCAATCCAGCCAATGGATGAGGAAATGCTATTGGAGCAAGCTGAATCAGAAGAGGAAGATATTTTTGATGATGAATTTGAAAACACTATGGATTGCAAAAGATCTTCACAACCTATGCTTGTTCTTCCACTATATTCTTTATTACCCATACATAAGCAATCACAAGTATGATTTATCTGATTTTTTATTTAATGATATGTTTGTTTTTAATTCTATTAAAAATCAAAACTTAATTGAAGGTATTTCAAGCTCCACCAGAGGGAACTAGATTGTGTGTTGTTGCTACAAATGTTGCAGAAACTTCATTGACTATTCCTAATATTAAATATGTAGTAGATACTGGGAAGGTATGTGTATATTTAGTTAAAAATAGATAAAACTTTTTATTCTAAAACTAAAAGACTCCTATAAGTAATGATATAGTCAATATATAAATATGTATTCAATAATTTTTACGTAAAAAAAAATAGTTATTCACAAATGAAAAAATATTTTAGAATATCTTATTTATATGCAAAAATTTATATGTGGGGTGTTCAAAAAGTTTCCAGAAAATGTAAATAAAAAGACTTCCAAATGGAATTTAGTACTTTATTTTTCAACATATGTTTCATTTAAGTTAAACATTTTTTCATATGGTGTTACCACCCTTCTAAACCGTTCTGTTAGAAATAAGTGCTGTTTGATTCTAACTTCTGCTACAAAATATTTTACTTAATCTGACAACTGCCAGAAAACATCTTTAATGTTTGTTTTTAAATTTGGAAACAAAAGAATCTAATGGGGCTAGATGCAAATACTTGATAAAACAAATCTCAACAAGTTTGTTAATTAGAAAATTTCCTGTACCATGTTCCATTTAAAAAATTTGACCTGGATAACCAATTTCTGGCCAGTACTGGAAGTTAAAAATATCATTATTTTATAGGGTGCATTCGATTTACTTATGAAAATTTTTTGTGTTTAAGTGTACAAGTGGTCTGTGTCGCCCTGTATATATAATCAAACCCCTTATTTACACTTTTTTAAGGAACAAAAAAGTGTAAAAAGTCAAATAAAGTATTAAAATACTGTTAGATTATTTTTTGGAAAATCAAAGTTCTCTATGTGTAAATTTTAGTTAAAGAAGAATTTTGTTTTTATAAATACTTATATTAGTAAGAATTACTTTTGTTGTATATAATTAGATTAAAAGAAGAATTTTTGACAAAAAATGTGGTATATCTACATTTATTGTAACATGGACTTCTCAAGCATCTGCCAATCAAAGAGCAGGTAGAGCTGGTAGAACAGGATCTGGCCATTGTTATAGGTAAAGATGTTTTTAATGTTTATAATAGCAAATTGTATTTACATCATTTTATACAATATTAATTTCATTTCTTTTAATTTCCTTTATCTACTTGGAAGTTTTTTATTTTTTAAGATAAATATGTTAAAATACATTAACAAGTTAAAATTATAACATTTATGTCACATCTGTTCAATTTATGTAAAAACCAGGGCTGTGGAATTGCATAAAAATCTACTGACTCTGACCTTGACTTTGCCTTACCATCTAATTCTGACTCACACCAGGAGCGGACTTGTTACCAAAATAGGCCTGGGAATTCTGATGTCATCACATAACCTCAGAATAAAAGCTTCAATAAATAGAGTTCTAATAAAGATAGAACATAGAAACTTTTTATTCCAAAGCTAAAAGACTCCTCTAAGTAATGACATAGTCAATATATAAATATGTATTCAATAATTTTTACTTTCTCAGCTGAAAATTATTTGACTGAGCACTGATTGACAACATTTGACTGAGCAATGATTGACAATTTTTCCCAGAGGGAAAGTGTAGTGCTCAGTCAAGAAATGACCTGCAAATTTTACATTTTTGGACTCAGGATACCTTGAAATGTTGAGATATGCAAATGATTTGGGGTTTTTTCCTGTATGTATGGATGTTAGACTGTGTGTGGGGTACGATTTTGTTCACTCTGTTTGAAGCTTAATAACTTCTGTGGTTTTTGAATTGGAGTTGGATGGTTTAATACAGGAGTTATTAAGCTTCAAAGTGGTTGAACTAAATTGTGCCTCCACACACATTCTAACATTTGTGCATACAGATAAAACCCCAAATGTTTTTGCACTTCTTTACATTTCAAAATTTCCTGAGTCTAAAAGAGTAAAAATCTGAGAAGTCATTTTTTGACTAATCATAATTCTTTTCCTTTGTTATATGCCTATATTGTATAATTGCTGGGAAAGTAACAACGACAATGATTCTGATTACTTTTTTTAAAATACAAAATAAAATGATTTTATAAAATTAATTAAATATATTGATAATAGTAGTAGTGTCTATTAAATATTAAGATTAAAACTTGTAATTTTATAGTTCACAATAATTTGAATCTTTTGTGTCTGAAGATGATTTTAAAACAAATTATAATATGTAGAGAACAGTTCATAATTATGTATACTATCACAAATGAAAATTGCAATTAATTTCATTGTAATATATGTAATAGAATGTGAGTTAATATATATTTAATTTATATCATATTGTCTTGAAATATCCTGAAAATATATTTTAAAAAGAGCTGATTTAAAATTTTGTTAAAGTTTTGATGGTTTGTTCATTTAATCTTGTATATACAGGATGTATCAGAATGACGTTTTAAAAATTTTGGAGATTGTAGAGGATGAAATTTTGAACATTTTGATATAAGGAACCCATAGCTGGAAATGTGATATAAAATTTCTACAGCACTTTGCACTTTGCAGTCGGTATGCTGAATGAAACAGCAGAATACAGTATTTATGACAAGTTTTATTGACAAAATAGTAGAGTACAATCAAACTGTACATCGAATCAGTGGCTGCACTACTTTAGAGTAAATGTTCAATGTGACGACCACCAACTTCATTACATAATGTGCAATGACAAACCATGTTTTGTCCAACTCTGTAAGAGGCCACGCTCCCCTCTGATGGTATTAAATGCTGTAAAAATGTGCTCTGTAAGCTCATGAACTATTCCTACAGGTGTTGCATACACAAGGGACTTTACATAACCTCAGAGGAAGAAGTCAAGAACAATAACATGACGTTAATGGATGGAAGGGTAACTACCAAAGTGATGGGCGGTCAAGCACTTCCTACTGCTGTACAAACTTTATATCACATTTCTGGCTATGGGTTCCTTATATTAAAACGTTCAAAATTTCATCCTCTACAATCTCCCAAATTTTTAAAACATTATTCTGATACACCCTGTATAGTAGGTATATGTGTTTTCATTATTGGGCTGCAATTTGAAAAAAATTATAGACATATAAATTCCCACTGTTATTATTTTTTATTCTTTTTATTCAAATAATAATAATAATATATCAAATAATGTATTTAATTTTATTATACAGATTATATTCATCATCTGTTTTTACCAACGAATTTCCAAAATTTTCACCTCCAGAGATTACTCTCCGCCCTATTGATGATATTGTACTGTATATGAAGGTAATTATCAGATATCATATACGTAAATTTTAGATATTCTTAAATATAAGTTATATATTACATTACATGTTTTAAACATATTTTGAATTTAAAATTGTAATATTGAAAAATACGATTTTTTTCTTACTAAGACGTATTAAGCTTCACCTCATTAGTCTCAGATAATTGCTTAGATATTTATGCAGCTATTTATGATTAACACAAAAAACTTGTAATATGTTTAAAACATTTACTTACATTTTTACCATAATAAATAACACTTTAGTTCAATGTTACTGAATATATGGAGAAAAATTTTATTATAATGTATCAAGTATATTACTTGACAAACATATGTAAAAACCAATATATTTATTACAATGAGTAGCATTTAGTAGTAGTTCATGTTTGGAATGTCAGAAGCTTGAGAAGCACAGTTTGACGACTTAATAGTTAAATTCAGTGACATTAGGAATATTATCCATCAGTGTGGTTGGATGAACTTAATCTGATGTTTGTTCTTCCTCATTTTTCCTCAGCATTTGGTTATCAATCTTGAGAAAAAATAATCTCAAAATAGATATTGTTGACAGTAAAATATGGTAAAGCAAAATAATGTGAAGATGCTTCTCTTCTGCATCAGTATAAAATTAAAGAGATAAGATTATCTATACAAATAGCATTATGAAAAGAAAACAATATCAAAAGATAGCAATGAATGCAATAAGAAAATATACCAATTGGTGCTGTAAATGTACATTAATGCAAGATAATATACTTAGAAAAAAATAAAAATAATCATAGGAATTTGTTTTCTTAAGGGATCTAAAAGTATTTTAGTATTAAATATTTTTCAATTGTCACAATCTCTATCCTCAATATTTGTTAAATCATTAATCATGCAAAGAATATTGCATCAAACAAATATAAATTTTTTATGGTGCTTAAGTGAAAAATATGCATGTCTTACATTGATATTAAGTTTTATATATTTGAGATTTAAGAATTGTATATGAATATGAAATAAGACAAGATATTTGTACTGTATCTGCTATATTTATATAANGATTAAATTAAAGTATATATCATATACAGTAATTTGATCATTAATGCATATATTTCACTAAATTTGTTATTTTTTTTAGTTCAATATTGCAAATGATAACCATTAATAGCTACTTTATTTTAACAAAAATATATTTCCTATTTGTTGAAATCAAAAGCAGTGACTTGTATTCTAATTTTGTCAAATCTATAATAATAATAACAATAATTCATTTTAAATTAGGTTAATGACCAATAATAAATTCATTAAAAAGTCCAATAACTATTCCCGAATAAAGTTCAACCAAAAAATATTTTATTAAAGCCAGCGTAACATTAAAAATAAACTTCTCAAATGTTCTCAGATAGTCATACTTCTCAACTGAAGTTTAATGATAAAACTTAATTATGCAAAAATTCTTATATCTATATCCAATTAATTATCTCAGAAGCAACTTCATTTGTTACTGTAGAAAAAAAAACCCTAAGAAATAATGGTAACATTTATTTCCTGTAGCAAACGTATATAATGCATCTTATATAATGACAATATGAAACATCGTAATGTTACTTTTTTAAAATAGTAATAATTGCAGTTTTTCCTCTTTTTTGAATTGTACCATAGTAAAAGGAATTTAGGACTTTTCAACTCTAACATTTAAAAAAAAATTATTTATAATTAAATTATGAGGAAGTATTTTTACAAGGAATGAATAACATATTTATTTGTGTCTGTTTTGCAATATATTATTTATAAATTTAAATTTAATGACAAAACTTTCTAGATTAATCTAATAACAAACCTTTTTAAAAATAAGAATTTTTATTATATTAATAATTAGTTCTAATTTCTTATATTCTAGAAAAGTCTGGATACAAGATAACTCAGTTAGGCCGAATCATAACTCATTTTTCTGTCAACCCTCGATTTGGAAAGATGATTGCTTGCTCATTTAAGAATGATGTTATGCCATATACTATAATTATAGTTTCTGCATTATCAGTTAGAGAAATATTTCTTGATTCTTATATGTCAACGGAAATTGAGGGTGGTGATGATGATGAAGTAAGTATATAACATTTTAACACAGTTTTATTTATATTTATAAATTAATATAATCAACTTAAATGAGTATATGATGATATTTTGTAAAATAACTTTATGTATTAATTTTGATGATAAATTCATCAATCATGTAATTTTATTTTTGTTAATGTTCATACCAAAACTGCTTAAGGAAGATCCATTTATTAAATTTTCAGCTAACTTCTTTCAAACGTCATTTGTCCATCTTCTGAGTTGATTTCTGGTTTAAATGTTTTTGAATTTTTTCATAGACATTCCATTGGAACCATAGTTCTATCCACAGATTGCAAATTTTAATTTTATGCAGTTATGTATACNTGTATTTAAATTTACTTTAGTATTAATGAGAAATTAAATTATTATTAGATTATAAAAATAATTTAATAATATAAGTGTGTTTGAAATTGCTTCATGCAATGCCAAATAGTTCAAGAAAATATTAACACCGTCTGTCAGCGTTATTATTTTACTTGAAATTATTTTTATAGATTTGCCTATACATAGGACCTTTATGCAACTCAGGTTCTCAGTGCACCACAAGTTCAAATTACTCCCTTACATCATACCAGCCAACTTCTTTCAGCCTCCTGGCTGTTAAAACAGCCATTGCTGCTATTATCTGCAGAGCATATTTATACTCTTTATCACCCTTGCTTGTACACAAAGAATTGAGTCAGGTTGTTATAGCAGTGCACAATGCTGGTTTATACAACATCCAAGTTCAAGTATGTCAATAATCTTGTCTGCAGCTCTCTTTTCCTATCAACTGCTTTGAGATCCAATGACAAAAAGAAGAGTCAGGTGTTTGCTCAACCTTCCATTCCATATTTGGGGGCTGTTACACATCAAATTGCACTTTCAAGAGATATAGCATTGTACTTCCTATAAAACAGCAAATTTCCCTGCACAGATTATTATGTGTGCTGCTCATTTGCTAAATCGATTAACTCCATAAAACAAAACGTGGAGAAATGTGACAAACATTCTTTTTAAAATTCCTTTTAAAATATAAATTCAAATAAATATTGTAGAATGTATTATTGTAGATATAGGTTTTATTTAACGACATATAGAATATATAAGATAGCATAGATATGCTATAATCATCATCATTATTATTATTATTACGATTTTGCTGTGATTGAGGGAGATAATCAATTTGGCAAGTGAAAAATGTAATTATATCAAATTCAGTCTTCACATAGATTTTTTTATTATAGAGAAACTTCGTTATTGTAAATTTTATATTAAAGATTTTTTTGCAAAAATGAATAATAACTACAATAATAATTACAATGTTTGTTATTATTATTTTGTTTAAATTGATTATTCAGCAACATAAATGATGTCTTCATCATCAGCTGTATTTGAGGTCTCATCATGTCAAATTGTTCTTCAGTTTTTATAAGATTCATGTTTGAGAGGAGGGATAAAAAATTATTTTTAGTTTCATCCATCTTGATTATAATGGTATAACTTTTCCTTTTTCTAAAACAATTGCCAACAAAATTAAAACAATCATTCAATAAACCGCAAGTATACTACTGCAGTTGGACTGTAATTAACTAATTTCTTTTACTTACGTTTTGTGATGAGATAACATTAAATAATTTACCGTTATCCTCAAGGCACTGGCCAGTGCACACTGCGATTGCAATGCTGCAGTGTGCACTGGCTAATTTATGTTACAGTATGGAGTTAATTAGATTGGCTTCTGAAATAAATAAAAGTTTTTTCAATGGCCAATAAAATTTTGTCATTAAGTGGTATTGATCCTTATTATTAGGGAAACTTATTATGAATATAAAAAGTTATGAGTATATCAAGTGCTTTGACATTAATATTTAAAAAAAAATCAAAATATGGAGTTAATCCATTTGGCTTGTGAATGGCTCATGTAATGATAGGGATAATTTTACCTTTTTGGAGAAGTCAGAGGTCTACATAGTCTCTTTACAGCAGATCTAAATGGGAGCAAAAATATTTTATATTGGTGCCACAACTAGAAATTTGGCTTGTCATTTTCAAGAACATCAAGATGATATCAAAAATTACAGAACCACTATTGAACTTGCTAGAAACGCTTTAGAAAATGGTTACAATGTATTATGGACTGATGCCACTCTACTTCAATGGGATTGAAGTAGGGTTGCATCAATCCATAATACATTGTAGGGTTGTTTTCATATTGAGTCACTTTATACAACAACACTTAGTTTGTGTAATGAACCTTTGCTCAAACTTCCAGCAATATGGCACACATTATACAGTAAGTTAGCACAATAATTTTCATTTGAGTTAATTCTAAATTTTTAAATTNATTATACATTTTTTGCACCTTTTTATTTCTGTTTTATTTATTTATTATTATTATTATTATTATTATTATATGGTATTAAAACTGAGATGATAATTATCATAATTTTCCACAGATAACTAGCATACATCCTTCAAAAAATTGCTGAAACAGAAATAAAACTTTTGCCTAACCTACATTGTTGCATATCTCATAACTATAAATAAAAATCCACACTTTAAAGTATGCTCCAGCAACAAATTTTAATGAGTGTGTTTCAGCATTGTAAGATATGGATTTTTATTTCTGGCGTTCCTTTCAGTTTCTAGAATAATTGCATGTCTCACAACTTCAAAGTGTCTGCTGTAAACATAATAATTATTGGCATGCACTTTAATAGGTATTGTTTTAAATATTCTATTACTTTCCCAGCTATTATATATAACAGAGGGAAAGTATGGAGATGAGTCAAAAAATGATCCCCCTAAGACTTTTACATTTTTGGACTCAGGACACCTTGAAATGTCAAGAAATGCAAAAACAATTAGGGTTTTTTTTTGGTATGTATTGATGTTTGTGTGTTTGTATGAGGCACAATTTTGTTTACCCTCTATAAAGATTAATAACTTTTGTGCTTTATGTCGAAAATTTCTGAAATTTTTCAGGGAGGTCCACTTATTAGGGGGAGTTTGCTATTAAATTTTGGTGGTTAAAGATCAAGGGAGTGGGGAGATAAAGGGAGTTGTGTGTATCTCCAGTAGGGTCTGACTTAATAACGATTTTACTTCTTATTAACTTTTACAGCTTTTAATAAAACCCATCCCTACCCTCAAAATTAAGCTTTTTGCCTATTTTTGCCTATTAATTTAAGCTTTTGGCATGTAATAGTTAAAATATAAAAAGTTTTTAAATAGAATATGATAACAGATGGTACCACCAAATGTTGCTGGGAAAGTTGAGCAACTCATTGCTGGATTTTTTTTCTTTTTCTTTCATTTGATTTCCAATAGCAGCTGCTTATAGTATTGATGTAATAATGAATAAATGAAATGGAATTTGAGATAGAAACATTTAAACTGAGCATTAAAATACAAATGGCTACTTAATAACAAAATTTTTTTTTGTTTCATTTTATTTGTTTTTTATTTATTAAATAGTATTAGTTAAATACATAATCACAATAACAAGTAATTTTTTGCTAATAATCACTGTCAAGATGAAAGAACTCTGTAGTTCCAGTGAATCATAGAATCATAGAGGAATACTGATATGATGATAAGCTTTCAGTAGGGACCCTATTCCAGTGATATTTTTGGGGAGAAATGAATCAAATAATCTTACAGTGGGTAACTACTTGACAGCATCTCTTCTCTATGTTAGGAGTGACTGATTTATAAACATGTAAATTTAGATATATAATCATATCCACTTTATAGAGAAGGCAAAAATAGCTCTAACACATTCTCAATGTTATACTAGTTTAAACTTTATTTTGATAAATAAGATCTGCATTCATGGGTTAGACAGAAAATTGTGTTTAAAAAAATCTGCTGTAGTCTCCTTTGGCCACCAATGACAAACATAGCACTGGCCCAAATATGGCTACTGTAACATCATCACTATCACAATCATAATCATCATTACACTCATCACACATTGATAACATATCTCTATACAGTTGAAGAACTTCAGTGATAGTCTGATTGATTAATTACAGTTGATTACAAGGTTAGAAAACTGCATTCAGTAAATGAATTGGACTCACGACATGAATAAATTCATTATCTACAAAACAAAAAAACGGAAAAAAAAAGGACAGTGTGCAGACTGACTGACATTACATGACAAATTCACACAAAAATATCCATATTTCACTATTACAGAACAGAGAATTATTGACCTGAAAACAGTAATTATATGTAACAATCTTATTCCACACACAATGCTTGAATGTATCAAACAACAGCATACAGAACAGATACGTCAACATGCAGAAATACTATATTAGGCCAAAACTCCACTAGCATAAAAACCCTCACCGTAAATAATTTTAATCACATGACCTATTTTCATTTGTGCTTGGATTGTGGTGGCAATCCAGCTCCACTAGTGAAGTTTTTACTTTAACAGTAGTATTGAAGTTACCATTGTATGTGTGATATATTGATATAAAGATCAGGATTATATTCTGCGATTTTTTTGTACTATAATTACAAATGTAGTAAAAATAATATCTCTACTTTCATATATTAACTTTTATTATCATATTAAGATACTATACTGCACTTATATGCTTAGCTTTTTTATTATATACTCATCTAAATTGAAGGATTTTCTTTTGGCCATCTATATTGCTTGTTTTAGGCATCCATTATTATAATAGAGATTATTATAAATCTTGTAAATAAATGAATACTCTTGAATAATCTTTTTTGATAAATCTTTTCAGATCTTTTCTAGGTCTTTTCTAAGTAGCCATGAGAGAACATAAAAGCTTATTTCTCATCATTTTTGCATGATGTTACAATGATGTAGACCAGGGGTATCCAACCCATGGCTCGCAGGCCGCATGCGGCCCAAGGCAAGTTACAATGCGGCCCAATAAACGTGTAAACAAAACCAACAAATGTTTTAATTTATTATTATTTATTTATTTCAACGGCATAAACTCAAAAGAAAGTTTCACAAAGCCGTAAACCTTTATTCATATTTATATTTTTGAGTGGAAAGAAAATATTTTCAAATACTTGGAGATGTGTGAATGCAGAAGAATTACTAAATAAAGCTGGAGTTGTTACTCAAAGGATTATAGACCCAAATTTGGGAAAAGGAGGGAAAGATGAGAAAGGACAAAAGATGTAGTAGTGGGAAATGTTAAATAGATCTTCTGTTAAGCAAATATGGATTCGTAAATTTTCAACCTTTTTCACTTCTTTATCTTTTGTCCTTTGCCTCTTTTTCCCAGCACTTGGGTCTATAATCCTTTGATTCACAACTCCAGCTTTATTTAGTATTTCTTCCAACATTGCAAGATTTGGCTACATTGGGCCAAATGTGGCTACTTTTTTTTTGCTTGAGGTAAAAAATATCATTTGGCGCTTTGGGTACTTTTTCGGCTAATATTATTTATAATTATATTAATTGAATAAAAATGCACTTTAAAATGGTGTTTCATCACTTTTTATTAATTATAGATCCAAATAAAACAAATATTTGTGTTTTTCAAATAAATTTTCGTTTGTCTCTTTTATAATAAATGAAATTATCTATTTCTAAGTAAAAATTGAAAGCGTCTGTAGAAGTAATTTTTTAAAATATCCTTTTTTCTTGATAAAGCTTTAATACTTATTATTATAATCTAGACATGTTAATTTTTAAATATAATTGTATATTGGGCCACAAGTATATATTATATATACTTGTGGCCCAAAACTCCTTGACTTCTTCCAATCCAGCCCAGAGAAACAAAAAGGTTGGACACCCCTGATGTAGACCATCCTTTCTCAAAGTGGGCAATAACGCCTCCTTGTGGGTGCTGGAGGCTTTCAGGGGGCAGTAGAAGGCTCACTGATTAAATATGAGTTTTATTTCTTCTCATTGAAACATTCTTTGATCTCAGAAATAGGATATGGGTCACACCCTATTTATCCTATCTGTATAATAATACATGTTTAAACATTATATTTGCAATAACTGTTTTTAAGATACGCAATAGATGTAATGTAAAAAAGTAAGTTAAAAAACATGGGGCACTAGATTTTTTTTAATCTCAAAGTGGGCAGTGATCAAACTAAGTTTGAGAACCTGTGATGTAGACTCTACTGACATCTGATTGGTTGATGGTACCATTTTACAGATATATTCGCATTGAAAGTTGAACACTGCTTAATTCACTCTATGCTCATTTTATGACTTGCTCCAGTGTAAAATATCATTGTCACATGATTAAAAGTATTTATGATGAGGGTTTTTACACTTGTTTTTATGCTAGTGGAGTTTCAGCCTTACACAGAAGATCAGATACTGACAATATCTCAACAACAGTCATGCATGAAAAATGTACACAATGTAAAACATCAATGAAAACAAAGACAATAATTATAGCCAGTGACACTATAGACCAGATTTAATTAACATATACAAACACACAAAATTTATTTCAAGAAGTAAACAGACATATTGTCAATATTTGGATAATGTAAGATTACATATAAATCTAAATCTGTCATAATTTATGTGTAAGTAACATTTACAGTTTATTAACAAGCTTTTGAGAATAAATATAGACTAAACACAAATTATTTTCTAATTAATTTGTTTTAAGATATTTTTGATTGTATGAAATTTATTTTAGGAATTTTTTGTAATTTTATTTACAGGCATCAGAAGAAAGACTTATGCAACTTGGAGCACTTGAAAAAGAGACAAGAAAAGTTAATGGTTTAGGTAAACAGAATTTAGTATATTTTTAATTATTGAATTCAATATTATTAAATTTCATTAGTTAAATATCTTAATAAGTTAACAAATAACAATAATAGTTATATATTGTTTCAGAAATAAACGATCTAGCACAAGTTGTATTATAGATTTTCTTAAATATACTTTGATAATATCTAGCTGTAATTAAACAATAATGTTTTCAAATTGATTAAATTACTGTATATATCATATACAGTAATTTGATCATTAATGCATATATTTCACTAAATTTGTTATTTTTTTTAGTTCAATATTGCAAATGATAACCATTAATAGCTACTTTATTTTAACAAAAATATATTTCCTATTTGTTGAAATCAAAAGCAGTGACTTGTATTCTAATTTTGTCAAATCTATAATAATAATAACAATAATTCATTTTAAATTAGGTTAATGACCAATAATAAATTCATTAAAAAGTCCAATAACTATTCCCGAATAAAGTTCAACCAAAAAATATTTTATTAAAGCCAGCGTAACATTAAAAATAAACTTCTCAAATGTTCTCAGATAGTCATACTTCTCAACTGAAGTTTAATGATAAAACTTAATTATGCAAAAATTCTTATATCTATATCCAATTAATTATCTCAGAAGCAACTTCATTTGTTACTGTAGAAAAAAAACCCTAAGAAATAATAGTAACATTTATTTCCTGTAGCAAACGTATATAATGCATCTTATATAATGACAATATGAAACATCGTAATGTTACTTTTTTAAAATAGTAATAATTGCAGTTTTTCCTCTTTTTTGAATTGTACCATAGTAAAAGGAATTTAGGACTTTTCAACTCTAACATTTAAAAAAAAAATTATTTATAATTAAATTATGAGGAAGTATTTTTACAAGGAATGAATAACGTATTTATTTGTGTCTGTTTTGCAATATATTATTTATAAATTTAAATTTAATGACAAAACTTTCTAGATTAATCTAATAACAAACCTTTTTAAAAATAAGAATTTTTATTATATTAATAATTAGTTCTAATTTCTTATATTCTAGAAAAGTCTGGATACAAGATAACTCAGTTAGGCCGAATCATAACTCATTTTTCTGTCAACCCTCGATTTGGAAAGATGATTGCTTGCTCATTTAAGAATGATGTTATGCCATATACTATAATTATAGTTTCTGCATTATCAGTTAGAGAAATATTTCTTGATTCTTATATGTCAACGGAAATTGAGGGTGGTGATGATGATGAAGTAAGTATATAACATTTTAACACAGTTTTATTTATATTTATAAATTAATATAATCAACTTAAATGAGTATATGATGATATTTTGTAAAATAACTTTATGTATTAATTTTGATGATAAATTCATCAATCATGTAATTTTATTTTTGTTAATGTTCATACCAAAACTGCTTAAGGAAGATCCATTTATTAAATTTTCAGCTAACTTCTTTCAAACGTCATTTGTCCATCTTCTGAGTTGATTTCTGGTTTAAATGTTTTTGAATTTTTTCATAGACATTCCATTGGAACCATAGTTCTATCCACAGATTGCAAATTTTAATTTTATGCAGTTATGTATACATAATAATTAAAATTTATTATATATTATATAATTTGTATTTATTTTATGAAAGATATAATGCAGAAGAAAATTTATTTCTTATACAAGTATTTGCAGACAAGTTGTGTTAAAATTTTGTACTGAAGATATAGATATTTTTGTACAGATTAGTTATGATCAATTTAATTATTGCATATTTAGCTATTATTTATAACATGATAATTTATGATTAAATGATATTGAATTTCAGTCATTTTTTTAAAATTTAGCAATAAATATAATTACAATACCTTTTCAATTTTCCATATTTAGAATAATAAATCTATAGAAAATAAAAAATGGAAAAGCTTGAGAATGCAATGGGCAGAATTGGTGAGTCCATTTTACAATAATATTTAATTATACTTGTAACGAATCATAAAATAAGCTTTTAAAGATAAGTGAAATAATGTTTAAGATATAAATGATATAAAAACTTTTTCACATTTTTATATGTTTGAATATACAGAGTATGTTTCTTGTTTAAGTTATTTATCTTATTCTTATGTAATAGGCATTTTAGATTAATTCTTAATATTCTTGTTATTTGAGTATTTCTTTGTAGAAAATAAATTTTAGATTACCATAAATTAAGAAATTGAAATGTTTGTAGGCTGATAACCTAATACCTTATTTCCATGCATATTTTTTGCATTTTTTTTGCCAATTTTTACTAATTGAAGATTGAGAAGTGGAAAATACACAAATTATTTTTGATAGTAGACTATATCAATATTTATTCTTACAAGAAATCTTGATTAATTAACAGAAATCATGATTTTATAAGATAGTTTTAATATTTTAAAAACTCTGCATACATATTCTGAATATTTTGAACTCTCACATCAAACAGTATGCAGCTGTTTTTGATAGATGTGTATACTCTAAAAATAAAAAGAAAATTAAATTAAGGATGACTATGATAACTTTAAAAATTTTAACAGAAATCATAAAATGAGATAAATACAGTAATTGTTATTCATTATATTGAATCAAAATATAAATGAATTACCAACATACCTTAATTTTTTTGGTCTGATGTGTTGCTCTCTCTGTTCAATGCCACAGACTCATTGTCATCATCACTTTCAGCATCCTGCTGGATCAAATCATTCTCAAAACCATCCATAGAATTGTAAGTCCCTGTTTTCTTAAAACTCTTCTCAATTATTGTAAATGAAATTCATTTCAAAACCTTCATGATCCATTCACACATCCCTTCCAAACTCGCCATAGAATTTTATCATTAGAAGTCACGTTGCGATTGCCTCCAGCCATCCACTCTGCATAAAACCAAATTCCTCCTTGAAAGGTTTAATTGACATGTCAAGTGATTGTAACACTGGAGTTAAGCCACTAGGAATCCAGCCATAGCCGTTTGTCTATCATACAGTACTTTCTTCACTTCTTCATTTAGATGGCCTCAGAAACTATCCAGCATAAGGAGTGACTTTTGACAAAGTAGAGCACCAGACCTCCTCTGCCACACTCTTTACACCCAATTTTTCATTAAATCTTTATCCATACATTCCTTTTCTTGCACTCAGACTTGAATACTGGGTGGACCATTAAAGTCTATAGGTAAGGCCTTTCTTTTGAAAATCACATATGATGACAATATTCATCCATCAGCAGTCATGGCTAACTTTACTGTGCATCTTTGCTTCTCACAGCCAGTTATTTTGATGATGACTGAGAACCTTCTTTTTCCACAGTAGTGTTTCTTGGCAAAAAACATGGGTGTCTGATCTGCATTCCCTATTTTGGAGAGCAAATATGATTGTTCTTCCTGTTTCCATATAATAAATCTATGAAGAGACAATCTGGTTCATAAAATGTCAAGGCAACATTTGGTTCAATGTAGTTCTTCTATATAGAGAAAGATTTTTCCCCTTCATAAATCTGCTGACCCATCTTCAACTAGCCTTAAACTCAAGGGAAGAAATATTTTGTGTCTGAGCAGTATTGTGAGCCGATGATTGCAACATATCACATGTTACAGCACAACTGTTGTTGCATGTTTCTTCAACATATCGTAACAGTTCTTCCTCAAGTTGAGGACACTTCTATTTTGTTTTCAGTCTTAGGACCAAGAAAAGCCCTCACAGTGGACTTTGCATTGCTTAGAGCTTCTTTCATTTATGCCAGTAGTGAACAAATGCCTCACTGACACTGAATTTTTGTTTGGCCTCTCAATTTCTGTTCTGTTCTGTTCTGCAAAGCAGATTACTTTAATTTTATATTGTGCAGTAAAACTGTTATTTTTTTCTTTCCATCTCACAAAGTTGCAGTTAACTCAACTGGTATGACACTAAGGAAGCTACTAAAATGCTGTAAAGCATCACAATTAACAACTACCCTTATTCCCTACCCTCATAGCCTTCAGCAAGTACAAAGATACCATATTGTTAAGCCTATACAAGGGAGTGAGGGTAAACAAAGTGCCTATATATCATAAAATTCTTGTTGGCTGACTCCTGTCCTATCTTAAACTCTGGACAAGTCCATTTTCGAATTGGGAAATACTGTCTTACACTAAATGGTTCAGTTTGAAAAGTCTTGCATTTTCCATGCGAAAAATACTCAAACATTCTGTTTTTTCTAAAAACATTTCTTATAAATAAAGGTAAAAAAATACGCATGGTATACAGTAACACAAAATTTTTCAATAGGGTTTTATCTTATTATTTTAGAGATAGAGTTTTCATTTATAAATTTATGCAATAAAACAGTTACTGCAAATATTCTTCAAAGAATAAAATATTGTTATATTTTCAGTAATGTTTTATTCTTCTTGTCTTTTGTTATAATAAACAAAAATCTACCAAGAAAGTGTAAGAATTTGTCTTTGACATTTTTTGAAAAGCAATAAAGCAGAAGTACATGTGCAATCTGGAATGGAAAAACAGAAAAGCAAGATGCAACTTTGCTGCAAGATGCTATGGCCAAACAAGTGAAAAGCAGAAGTTGTTTCTGGCAAATGCACTTGATATTCAAGACAGAAGATGAGAGTCTGTATCTTTTCTGCTTACAACTTTTATTTTATATAGTTTGCTTTATTTATCAAGATTTCAATGAAAGAGAAAGTGTAGGATATAAGAAACATTTTTTTTATAAGAAAAATTAAAATTATAAATGAACTTTATTTGAAAATATACTTTAATATGCTACCATTTATCTTCACCATAGTTTGTTTATTATTTTAAATCTTTATTAACATAGGAATAATAATGTGAAAAGAAATAATTTCACACAGAATCAAAAAACTTTTCTACATTGATAGTAATATTTGGAATTTTTGCCATTAAATAAATACAGGTATTGTATATGTGATTCATGTACTCAGATGATATAAACATAACTAATGAAGTGGGTTATGATTGGTTATAGAAAATGTCTATCACTTATGCTGTAAAAGTTGATTCTCACTCTACTTTTGCAGCATGATGAAAAGTGTCAACATTTCAGGGCTGCAACAACAAAAGTCACCACAAACACATAACTTTTCCATTCTTCACCACATGCGTGCATCCCACCTTAAGGATTAAATACAGCAGAATAAGCAATAAGGATCATGCCATATTTTAATTCAAATCGGAGTCCAAAATTTTATATATAAGTTTCTTTTGTACAGTCAGAATTGTTGTCTGATCAATACTAAAAATTCTACTTTCAACAATTATTTTTTAGCATTCTAAAAAATCTAAATGATCTGAATAATATTTGTTAGTTTAATACAATATATATAATATGTAAATTTCTGAATGTTATTTTATAAAATGGATTTTTATTTAGGAATGTGCTCATGGCCTTGGTGATATTATGGTTTTATTAAAAGCAGTTGGAGGTACTGAAAATGTTGGACTAAGTAGAAAAGTATGTGATGACAATGGTCTGAGATATAAAGCCCTATTGGAGATTCGTAAACTGCGTTGTCAATTAACTAAAGAAGGTAATAAAATTTTAAACTGTTCAAAAATAAATTTTATATTTTAGGTTTTTTTTATTATTACAAATTTATTTGAATGCTAATTTATGAAAAAAAATAATGGCTTTATTTCAGTGAATCTTTTATCATCAAAATATAATTATTGCATGGATCCAAAACTTGATGTTCCAACAGCATCTCAAAAAGAATATTTATGTCGACTTATTTTAGCTACAGGAATAAATCATGTTGCAAAGTAACATTTGAGAAAAATTTAGATTTTTATATAATTTTAAGTAATTTGTAAATGATTATAAAAACTTTTATATGAAATTTACAAAATTATTTTATTTTAGAAAAATTCCAATAAATGAAATCAAGAAAGAGAATAGAAAAAAATTTAAAAATGCTTATCAGGCAAGTATAAGTTTTATATCATAAATTAAAATAGTAAAACCTGTCCAAAACAGAACTTCAATAAAATGGAAACCTGCTTAAATGGAAAAAATTCTTCAGAATGAAGTGATTTTCTATTTTAAATTCTGCTGTAAGCTGAAAACCTGTCCATTGTGGAAATGGAAGAGTTTTTGGGTATGAACATAACTTAGCCTGGATAAAGTAGAAAATTAAGATTACACTCATGGATAAATAAATAAAATCTGTAGGTGTAACCATCATTGTAGAGCCTGACAAACTGTATTCCAATAATGATTTCAAGCCTTGTCAAAGAAATAAAGGTCATATGGATACAGTCTTTGTTAATATTTATTTTTGTTGGAATTAATCAGGAGCAGAATTGAGAACTTTAAGAATCAAAGAATTTCCAAGAATTGAAGGGTCAAGAACAAGCAACAGATTAATTCATGAAAACAATGAGAATAAAATGACAGTGCTGGCAATTTGCTTTGTATGGAGTATTTAGTAACTAATTAGTACCAAGTATCTGAAAAAATTGATTAATTGATTAACATGTTGATAATTAATTAACATGTTGATAATTAAGAGATTAAAATAAATGGTTAATTAGATTATTAAATCTCCAAAATCAGATTATATCACAGAATAACCTGATCTGTATTATTTCTGTTTTGTAATTATTTTTTATGGAATTTCTTAGGAATTCTCATATCTTATATATATCAAAAATAGTAATGATAGATTCAACTNACTTATTATTATAATCTAGACATGTTAATTTTTAAATATAATTGTATATTGGGCCACAAGTATATATTATATATACTTGTGGCCCAAAACTCCTTGACTTCTTCCAATCCAGCCCAGAGAAACAAAAAGGTTGGACACCCCTGATGTAGACCATCCTTTCTCAAAGTGGGCAATAACGCCTCCTTGTGGGTGCTGGAGGCTTTCAGGGGGCAGTAGAAGGCTCACTGATTAAATATGAGTTTTATTTCTTCTCATTGAAACATTCTTTGATCTCAGAAATAGGATATGGGTCACACCCTATTTATCCTATCTGTATAATAATACATGTTTAAACATTATATTTGCAATAACTGTTTTTAAGATACGCAATAGATGTAATGTAAAAAAGTAAGTTAAAAAACATGGGGCACTAGATTTTTTTTAATCTCAAAGTGGGCAGTGATCAAACTAAGTTTGAGAACCTGTGATGTAGACTCTACTGACATCTGATTGGTTGATGGTACCATTTTACAGATATATTCGCATTGAAAGTTGAACACTGCTTAATTCACTTTATGCTCATTTTATGACTTGCTCCAGTGTAAAATATCATTGTCACATGATTAAAAGTATTTATGATGAGGGTTTTTACACTTGTTTTTATGCTAGTGGAGTTTCAGCCTTACACAGAAGATCAGATACTGACAATATCTCAACAACAGTCATGCATGAAAAATGTACACAATGTAAAACATCAATGAAAACAAAGACAATAATTATAGCCAGTGACACTATAGACCAGATTTAATTAACATATACAAACACACAAAATTTATTTCAAGAAGTAAACAGACATATTGTCAATATTTGGATAATGTAAGATTACATATAAATCTAAATCTGTCATAATTTATGTGTAAGTAACATTTACAGTTTATTAACAAGCTTTTGAGAATAAATATAGATTAAACACAAATTATTTTCTAATTAATTTGTTTTAAGATATTTTTGATTGTATGAAATTTATTTTAGGAATTTTTTGTAATTTTATTTACAGGCATCAGAAGAAAGACTTATGCAACTTGGAGCACTTGAAAAAGAGACAAGAAAAGTTAATGGTTTAGGTAAACAGAATTTAGTATATTTTTAATTATTGAATTCAATATTATTAAATTTCATTAGTTAAATATCTTAATAAGTTAACAAATAACAATAATAGTTATATATTGTTTCAGAAATAAACGATCTAGCACAAGTTGTATTATAGATTTTCTTAAATATACTTTGATAATATCTAGCTGTAATTAAACAATAATGTTTTCAAATTGATTAAATTACAGTATATATCATATAACCCTCAAGGGCTTATGTAATCAGCAATTCTAATTTCTTACATAATATAAGTTATTGTAAACATTGTCGGGACTTAAACTCTGGAAAGACTCCAGCTGTATTATAATTGTATATATTGTATTATTTTGTTCAAAAAATGCCGATGCAGACGCCACGAGTCCCATGCCTTCTTTCACACTATCCTATCTTTCTTTCTTTTCACACTTCACATCTCATGCTTTCTCTTCTTTCCTACTTCCAAGGGCTAAGTACGTCGCTTAAAAGACGGACAGCTCTCTAATCTCTTTTCTCAGAAGTCAGAAGTCNAGAAATCGTTTTAATAGGCGTATAATATACATCAGGTCCACGTATTGATCTCTAGAGGCTAGAATATGAGACCACAAGTATGATGTGTCCAAGGGGAAGTATAATACTGCACTAGCCCAGTATGCTACTGAACCCGGAGTTTCTCCTTGTTGGGATGAAACTATGCTTTTACACAGGGTGTTTGACCAACACGACTTACATTCATTGGAGGCTATTGAAATTTATATAGCGGGCATGAAGGGAGGTTGCATTAACTCCAACTATATTCCAGTTCCACAATTGTGAAAGTATTATTTACAAAGCCACAAAGTATAACTATGATTCTTTAGTATGAAGTTAGCTTTAGGCGATGTAATGGAAACAATTTTTCCCTATTGCACATCGTTTATACATTAAAACATCAGGCTAACTTTTAACAATGAATATATTATTACTACCATATATATTATTTTGTATATTAACACCATATATATTATTATTGTATTTATTTATAAATATTTTAATTATATGTTGTAATACGTAACAATCTTTGTATTCAACATCGTTTAAATGTTAAAAATTAGAACACAGCTATGTTCAAAAACTGTTAAAAAGATAGAACTGTTTTTCTATTCTATGCAATTTTTCCTGACGAGGGCCTCTGAAAGACGGCCAAAAACGTTTGAACATAAAAAGTTTTTTGTTGTTCATTTGCTGGAATTATTGCTTAGGTGTGAAGTGGTTGTTTTACCATATTTAATAAATTAAATTGATGCATTTTGTATTTAAAATAAATGAATTATAACAAAATACAAAAAGATTTTTAAAAATTAATAAATATAAAATAAATTTTCTTTCAGTTAAATAAAAAAATTTAATTTAATTTAAAATGCAGGAGTCGACACATTTTTCTGACTTCGACTCCTCTGGCCAGAAATTTCTCCTGACTCCTCCTCCACAGCCCTGTTGAAAAGTGTAAAAAGCACCCTTATTGGAAATAAGATTATTTCTTGGGGATTGTGAAAGTAATTTACAGTTCTGTTTAATGCATTCTGGTAAAATTTTTGTTTACATTATTGAATGAAAATTAACATTGTGACAGTGGTGTCTTGCCTAGGTAACAGCAAACTTTGCATTAACACAAGAATTTTCTTAATCAGTGTTTGTTTTAAGGTGAATCTACTTTGTTGATATTTGTATTGTGGCTTTTATAATCATCTGAGATACTTATCAGATTGCTGTGCAAAGTAGGTGCTTGATAATAGCCATATGTTATATTTATAACCAAGAAAATCATTTTGAAATTTGAGTTTGACTGTTTCAGTTTTGTTTTTGATATATTCAAAGAGAAGAAGTAAAAAAAAAGGACAGTTTTTTTTAATATTTATGTAAATTTAAAAATGACTGCAGTTAAAATTAATGTCAAAAAACATTTATAAAAATCTACATATGTTACATTTATGAGTATTTGCATCAATGATTGCAGAATGTTATATTACTTATTTATTAAATAATAAAGTGCTTGAATCAATAATAGAATCTAGATCAGGGGTGTCCAACCTTTTCGTTTCTTTGTTTGGAAGAAGTCATGGAGCTTTGGTCACAAGTATATTATATGTACTTGTGGCCCAATCCTTAAATATGCAAGTATATTTAAGGATTAACATGTCCAGATTATAGTAATAAGTATTAAAACTTTATCATGAAAAAGGATATTTTAAAAAAGTACTTCTGTAGATACTTTCAATTTTTACTTAGAAATAGATAAATTCATTTATTATAAAAGAGACAAACAAAAATTTATTTGCAAAACACAAATATTTGTTTTATTTACATTTCTAATTAATTAAATTAATTAATTAATAAAAAACGATGAAACACCATTTAAAGTGCATTTGTATTCAACTAATATACAGGGTGTTTTTTTTAAATTGATGGTACTCAGAGACATCTGTAGAGCAATCTAACAGTTGGACTGTCGCCAAATTTGGGAGAGTGACTAAGTGACTATAACAGCGTCAAATCCACCCCTACTGTTGAATTTAGGTACTACTTTATTTTCTTCGCGGAATCTCTTTCCCATGTTGTCCTTAGTCACTCTTCCAAATTTGGCAACAGTCCAGCTGTTAGATTGCTCTACAGATGTCTCTGAGTACCATCAGTTTAAAAAAAACACCCTGTATTTATAAATAATATGTAGCTCAAAAAGTAGCCAATGTGCCAAATGATATTTTTTATGCCAAACTAAAAAGAGGTAACCAAATTTGGCATAAAATAGCCAAATCTTGCTGGAAGAAATTCTAGATAAAGCTTGGGACTCAAAGAATTATAGATCCAAATGCAGGGAAAGGAGAGAAAGCACAAAAGACAAAGAAATGAATAAGGTTGGAAAATTAAGGGTCAATATTTGCATAACAGAAGGTCTATATAACCTTTCTCACTACTTTTTATCTTTTGGCCTTTCTCTCCTTTCCTCGAATTTGGGTCTATAATCCTTTGAGTCACAACTCCAGCATTATTTAGTATTCTTTCCTCATTCACACATTTCCAAGTATTTGAAAATATTTCCTTTCCACTGAAAAATGTATAAATGTTTAGGGTTTTGTGAAACTTCTTTTTGGAGTTTATGCTGTTGAAATAAATAAAAAAATAATAATAACTTTGTCGGTGTTGTTAACACGTTTATTGGGCTGCATTGAACCTTGCCACGGGCCGCAGGTTGGACATCCCTGATCTAGATAAAAGAACTATAGAATAATGATTTGGAATAGGATTTGAATACACAAATTGAACATAATGGATAAGTTTAACAATTATGCCATCTGAAGACATTGAGTCAGATCTTTTCCAGATTGTGATCTGTAGATAGTGTTTGTATTTATATATACCAATAAGAATTAAATTTATTGAATTATTCAACTAATAATTAATTTAACTGAATTTTTTCCACACAATTTAAAGGAACTTTTTGAAATTTTGATATATTAGTTAAATAATCTAAAAACTTGGATGAATGAATAAGTATGAACTGAACTGCAGTGTGTAGAGTAACTAAATCATGAGGATTGAAAAAATGCTTTGCATTGTTGAATGAACCTATCTATGTGGAGATAGTATCCTTCACTATCTTTCTGAAATAAGCATATTGTGTTTATTGATCACAAATTATTTATGCTCGTATATCATACAAATATATCATTATATATTCCTTTATAATAAAAGATAATTATAGTAACTGTAGACAATTCTTAACATTAAATCTTATAATTCAAATCAAAATCTTGCTAGGAATTAAAAATCTAGAATATTTGAAATATATTTAAATGAAATTATATAATTTTTTTTTTAGTTTATCTTTCTTATAACAAAAATGTATTATTTATGAATTACATCTGAAAATTTAAATGATCTATTTTGCATTGTGTAAATGAAAACTTTAGCTACTCAATTTATATTTAATTACTTATAAGTGTTCAATTATATAGATTGTTTGTAGAAAAATTGCCTAAACATCCAGAATATCAAAATGTAGGAACTATTGATAAAGCAAACACAAAACAGGTCAGTGCTTTATTGTTTATATTTTATTTAGTAATTGTTATAAATAATAATTATTAAGCTTTCAGAAATAATATTTGAAGATGTTACCATCTATTGTAAATTCATTATATTTTAAAAATGGTTTTTAACTACTTTATTGAATATTTATACTTAAAGATTTTTTTATTTTTATTTTTGTTTTAATTATTATTAATAAGAGTTTTACCATCTATTATCTGAGTAATGTTACAGTATTATATATTTTATATATCATAAATAAATCCTTACAGAAAAAATGTTATATTATTCTGATATAAATAAAATATTGTTTTGAATTATGGATGAGTAAGTCACAAGAGTATTTATCTTACCTATGATGAATCGTCCATGACCGAAAACTTCATTCAAGATCTTTTATTAATACTTGCTTTTTCTTAGCTTTAATGATTTCATTCTTTCATTTTCTGATTGATTTATGAAATATACTGTAATATTGTCTTAAGACTTTTATTGAAACAATTATGATCTATTCTAATTGTATTTGTCCAGTGCAATATTCAGTATAAACAATAGAATATGTAAACTTTTTTCTTATTCTTATCAGACGTACTGAATTAGGTATTATATTTTTAATTCGTTTGGTGATTGAATTTGGTATTTTCTGTTATGTTTTCTGTTACAGATTTGTTTTCATCATCAAAAATTCATTATGTATATGTTTAAGAAATAGAATTTTGTGTTTAATAAAATATTTTAATAGAATTGTTTTTTTATAAAAATAATTTCTATTAGTAACAATTATATTATTCTACAGAAAAGTGAATTAGATTTTTTTTAATGCTTATTAACTTAAAATGAGATGGTGAAATGCAATTACAAAGTTTACAACATTACTTAAAGTTATATAGTGAGAATACATTTTCTTCTTTGTAAAACACGATGAAAATTTTAATTTTATATTTATGTTAATTGAAATTATTTTTGTCTTCATTTAAATACTTTTGTGATATGAACACTTAGTTTGTTTTTATTCACAATCTTTATCAAATAATTATGAAAACATTGAAAACAGCAAATTTGTAAGATATAAATTTGATTTAATATATATTTCTTAATCCTGACAAATATCTATTAATAAAAATAATAGAAGGAATAAATTATTTCTTTTCTGTTTTTTTTTTATAAATAAAAGTACATAGCAGAAATTAGAGTATTTCAAATTCAAAGATATATGTTTAAAATAATGTTTATACACAAAAATAATAACATTTTGAAGGATAAGTTTTTCAAATAAGATTTAAAGTTTTATTCTGTTGGTTTTATTGTGCACATTGTTGGAATATCAAAATGTAAAACAAGAGGAATTTTAAAAATTTTAAATTATAATATTGTAAAAAATATCAATTGCTAAGCAATTTATTTAACATCAAACATTCATATTATATTAAAATATTTTAAATTATTGTTGTTGAAATGAAGAGCATCTAGTTATAATTAATTTGTTTTCTTGAATGAGATAGTTGACGTTATTCAGTTTATTTGCACATTAAGTGAATGACCTTGATTTTAGCTTATTTATATAGTTGATTATTTGATCATGAATATTTTATAAATTTATTTATATTGGATTGATTACTGTAATTAATATAAACAGTTAAAATAATCAGAACTATAATAATTTTAGATTATTAATTTATGAAAATAATTTAAAATAAAATTTTTGATATAAATGCACTTAAATTTTCAATTAGATTTTTCAGATTAATACATTATTATATATAGGAGGGTTCATACATATTACAGTGTAAAAGATGAGTTTTATGTGTGGAAAAGGTTTATCGGTTGTCCATCAATGATACAAATAATTAAATTTAAAACATTTTTTAAAAATCTCAAGATGAAAAGAGTCTAAAATCTATATATATATATATAAAAATGGACGTGTGTGTCCCTATATTTCACTTTTCAGCCAAAACTACACATCGCACATGAATGGTGATTGTATGGGGTAGTAGCCCCAAGTCTCCATTCATGCACTATGGTGGTTGCATCTCGATAGCTATAAGTGTGTGGGAGATATGGGCTTGAAAGTGGTTGAAAGTGGATATAAAAGTTGATATAAAACAAAGTTGATATAAAAGTTTAATTATTTAAATAATTCAAATTTTATTTTTATTGTTTTTAATCTTTTTAAAACAGGATTTAAAAATATAATTTTGAAGACGATATATATTTAAAAAGTATTTTGTCAATAAATTATTTATTTATTTTTCTATTAAGTAATTACTTACTAAGAAAATAAATCAGTAATAATAAATTTGTTTATATTTTACAAAATAAGTGTAATTTTTAAGTTTTTTTCATTTGTTTTTTTTACTTTAGTGATATCTGCTATTGATCCTTCATGGATACCGTTAGTTGCACCACAACTTTGTTCTTTTTCTAAACCATTGGAAAAACCACCTCCAAGATATGATGCAGAAAGTGATGAAATTTTATGTCACATGACATCAACATTTGGTAAATATTAAATCTATTGCTAAAACTTTTATCTTGAATGGAAATTTTCAAAATCAGCTTTTTTTAAAATAATAACATAGCAAATAAAGTTATAAGGTTCAGTAAGGATAAGTTTATTTTTCATTGTGTGAATTATATCATATTAACGATATATTTTTATTAATAAAAAATACAAGAGAAATACATTTATTATTTGGTTATTTTTAAACCAATCCGTAGAGTTATAAAATTATATTTCGTTTTTGATTAAATTTAATGATTAAAATAATTTGTACTACAGGTGCACAGTATAATATAAATTATCTAATGTAAATTAAATTGATATTGATAATATTTATGTTAAAATAATTAGATTGATTAAATTGAGAAAGTCTGGAAGAAGAAGATATAAAAAAAACTATTTTAAAATCTTATTTGTCAATTATGCTATTTCACATTTTAAGAATTTAACTTTGATAGTTCTACATAAATTATATTTTAAAGCTTTGTATCAATATTTGTAGAATTAAAAATTCAAACAAGTTTATTTAATTAGCATTTGTCCAAATTACTGTTTTTAAATATAAGAACTATTAGTTTTCACTATATTACTTTAGATAAATTTGAAGGAAGAAGTTAAACTGTTGACTTATTTACTATTCTATAATATACATACAAATAGTAATTTTAAAATTATTTTTTATTAGGACAACAGCAATGGGAATTACCTCCTGTTGAATTAAAATTTCCTGTAACAACAAGTAGATACAGTTGGTTTGGTAGATTTTTTCTTGAAGGTGAAATTATACCAGCATTAAAAAAATATAGTAAATTTCTCATAATTTCACCCACTAATATGATTAAAGATTGGGCAAGGTATGTACAAATATTACATAAAACATTAAAACATACATCTAAGTTTAATTTTCTGTTAATTTATTTGATTTGTTTTACAGATTTCAAGAAAGAACTCAATATGTATTGAATTGTCTTATAAATAAACAGGTAGACAGTAAAAAGGCATTATTGGAAGAATGGAAAAAAGATTCAAAATGTAAGTATATTCAATAGCAACTCAACGTAAAGTAAAATAAAATAACAATAAAATAATTTTTTGTAATTGTTGTTGAATAAGTCATTTGATTGTCAAACAATAAAATAAGAAATGATAATGTTTTTCCCAGAAATATAAAATACTTGTAGAGTTTATCAACAAAACTCATTTTCTGCCATGTTGAATATTACTAATTTGAATAATTCAAATATAAACTAGTATTGAATGTGTTTTTATAATTCAAACTAAAATACATGTATATGCTTTTTTCCTGTGATTTTTCTTCACTTGTTGATGGTAATTAATAATATAATATAATCAGATTTATAAGCAGAAATTGTTGCCGTGATAAATTATTCTGTTTCACCAAAAGACATTTATTTTTATATTAAAATAATTTTTAGTAAATTTTTGTTACTTGTACTTTTTTAGTAATTTAAACTTACAAACTTTTCAAGGAATATAATAAAAAGATGTTAGTTTGACTGCTTAATAGCAGTTATTCATTGTTGACATTAATATTACAGTCAGTATCAGATTTAGATTCAGTTCTTTCAATCAGTTTAATTAGGCCTTGCATTTTAGGAGGTCCTGCTTTAGATTACAATTCCACAAAGGGAGAAAATTTTTATTTTAAAGACAAAATTATTGTCTTGTCTTATGATAACCATAGATAACAACATTGTGCACAGTGTTAACAACATTGTGCACAGTGTTGCATTTTAATTTTTAATTGTTTATTTTTTTAATGATTTCATTTGGGCATTTATGTATATGTTTTGAATATAATACAGTAATTTGAATAAATACATGATGATTAAATTTACCAACAAAAATTTTCAATTGCAAACTTTGTAAAATATATTATGCTGCAACAGAAATAATATTATATTTGACAATTAACATATTTGATGAATTTATTTTTATTATATTTTTCAGAAACCTATTGTTGTACGAAGTGCGTATTATTGATAAACTTCAAAATAATCAGTAAAATGATTACAAAGTAAAAAATTCCATAAATCGAAAAGTTAGAAGAAATAATTTTGAACTAAAACCAAACAATTTTGCATTGTATCAGTTAAATGTTAATTATAAGTGGATTATTTTTCTTACAATAACATTCAGAATAAAGAAAACATTTCAGAATTATAAATAAAATGAAATTATAAACTGTCATATGACACTAGCTTCTTCGAGTGAAAGTCATCAGATATAAGATATATTAATGTGAATTAGTAGCATATTTTATTTATTATAATTTAATCTATCTATAGGCATCATGTTACTTGAAAATATGTATTAGACATAGTAAACTGTTGAAAGAATGTCATTCCAAAGAATTAAACATTTTAAATAGTAGTACTTCAGAATTCATTAAATCATGCATAATGTTGTCATTTGAAAGAAACTAAAATATTCAGTGCTTGTTGAAACTTCTTTATGAATTCTTTGCGTATTTTAATTTAGGTGAATAATTATGAAAAACTAAAAGCTGTAAAAATTTCTAATTGAAATATTTTACTTCGTATCACAAAAGAAAATCATTCTGAAAGACAAAGCATAATAAATATAAAATAACTCAAAAAATTTAAATAGAAAAAAATCACAAATTTAAAAACGAGAAAACTTTAATAAAGAAAGAATAAGCTAATTACAATGTGATTAATTAAATAATCAATTAATCACATTCAAAAATTTTAAATTTGTAAATATTTTTTGTGATATTTGTATCTTTGATGCCTTCTAAGACTCAAATGATAGTAAAAATAATTTTCTTATTTCATTCTTATTCACTATTGATATTGGTCATTATTGAAAAAATTCATTATTTTATAAAATTTCTTAAAATAATGGAAAATTCGAAATTTTTACCGTGCCATTTTTTCAAAAAATTATTGTAACACAGATAATTAAAATCATTAATGATGATCATGATGATGTAATTTAAATTCTAACATTTTGTAATATTCATTTGAATATGTGATTTATTGTTAATTCCTGACAAATGGTCATATTATTCCATTATATATTAAAAGTCTTATAACATCACAGAAGCGTGAATATTTATCATATTATTTGCAATTAGTTATTATTGTTTCAAAATTAGATATTTCAGAATTTTGAAGAGAGAAATTTTTCTTTATAATTTGAATTTTATCAGTATGGTGTATTTGTAATTAACATAATATTTTAATTAATATTTCTAAAAAATTTGTGATTAATTTTAATGAATTTTTGATTTTCAGATTTACTTTGGGCTTATTGTCAATGGTTACCAGCAGAATTACATAGTGAAATTTCACAAATATGGCCACCATCATCATAATTTTTAAGAGTTCCTGTTCTATTCTGTAGTTATTCTTAAGAAGGAGTTTCAATGAACTCTTCTTTTATATATATTTCATGTATAGTAAAAGTGAAAAAAACATTGTAAAGTTTGTATTAAATGTTATTTTTATTTATTGAACATATTTACATACATGTTGAAGAAGATATATTCTTAAATCTACAAAATAAAAAGTATTTTTTTAAAATAAAAAAGAAAAAACTTCATTTATATTTTTTATCACTTTCAGCAAACATAACACAATTTTCATTAATATTTTATGATAATGTATTTAAAGCATCTTAAGTATATGAACTCAGATTTCAATTGATTAATAGATAAAAATATAAATTATCTGTTTTCATTATCTTCTTATAAATATTTATGATACTTGTGTTGCTGTCTTTTTACATTGATGCCTATGCTAACTTCTTATTAATTTTTTCTAGATTTAATAGTTTTTTGTTACTTGAATCTTATCAAAAATTAGCAATTCATTTCTCTCTTTCTTCATGTTTTTCAACAAAAGTTTTAAGAAACAACTTCAAATCTAATAATTTCTCAACATTTTAGTTATTATTTTCAAAAAATAATATGTATATTTTAATTTTTAAAGTAGAAGTTAATATGTGTTCAGTAATATGAAAATGTAAAGCAAAGAGACAAAAGCATCTTTATATATGTTAATAGTAATGAGTTATTTGATCAATTGTGTCTGTTCTACATTTTGTTTCACTAAAGATTTTTTTTTATATTTTCTTTAATATTTGCTTTGATTTAACCATTATTAAGTTAACTTTTAGATAGCATCGGGAGAATAATTTACTATATAAGTTGCTTCAATAAAAGCAAATACAGTAGAACCTCGATTATCCGGACCTCTATTATCCGGATTTTCGATTATCCGGATTGTTCAAAATAAACAAAAATTTTACGAATTTGCTGATTTGCACTTGGCGAATTACGACACTGTTTATGTACGTGATGGAATGCATAACTTTTTTTGTTTCAACAACGTCTCACCCGGCACAGTGGTCGTAAACTCTTAAATATATTTTACGTAGTAATAAAAATATAACTTGACATACGTA